ACCCAAGTTACCACCGGGGTAACCAGCTCAGCATGATCTTTCCAAGCAGTATATGGGATGGCGTCAGGACCAGTTGCTGTCTTCTTAATCCTTTGAAGAGTGTTCCACACAACCCTCTCCGAGACAGTAGGAATCTCCACTTCAACGCCTATCTCCAATGGTATTGGTTTCAGTTCATCACTCCTCCTTCACAAATCTCCTGATGATTTTTCCCCATTAATACCCAATCCCGGAGACTGTTGACCGTGGTCTGCAGACTCTTGTTTCACTTTGCAAGGAACAATAGTTTGTCCACTTCAGTTCGTTGACGTTAGGTTTTGTGAAAAAATTGGATCATAAACGACGGGATTGGACGGAGTAACAACGGGCTGAGATGTTACGAGCTTTGATTGCTACTACTGAACTACTGAACCACTAGGGCCGTCAGACCCTCAGCGGAGAAATATAGAAGAGGCATCAGCCACGAACTTGCGAGTTACTTCTCAAATTTTTCTCTGTGTTCTCTCGACATCCTGACTCGTAGGTTAATACGCCGGTTAACCAAAAGAAAGCGTGGTCTAATTCCGGAATTATGTCGTCATGGATAGAGGCCCTTTTTCCATACATCACATTTATCCTAGTTGCCTATGACTAAACTTTTTTACATTCCTAAACGGTTAACCAATATAAGGCGTGGTCTATTCCCGGAATTTTGTCGTCGTGGATGCAAGCCCTTTTGTCTTTTATCGTATTTATCCTACTTGCTTTGGACTTAGACTTCTTGATATTCCTAAACTTGATTAATTAAAATGCCTACACTTGACTTGAACCTTTTCAAAGGAAAATTTTGATCGATAAGTAAATACCCGTCCATGAAAGTATCTCTGCATCCCAGTCCTTCTTAATGTACTTTTTCATTCCGTTTCGTCACCGGCAAACGGACACCAAATTAATTCCCGATAAAGAAACTTTTTCCGTCGGATTGGCTTTTTGAGGGTTTTTTGTCAGAACGTGCAAGATGGATACTAAACGTGTCTATCGTCAGTTTTGAACTGTGTGCCACTTCAAGTGATAACCAGGAGTTTGAATTTATCACCATACAGTCAAAAAAATGTTCACTATCTTTTTATAGTTAGTAAAACAGGACGACCCTACCTAGGCTGGCTTGAAAGTGAAGATCTAACGCATCAATTCGTCCGTAACTGTCTGACCCTCTATCAAAATTCTTGACAATGATAGAAAGATGGCTCAGCATCTCTCTACAGGAAAACAGAGATAACTTTCGGGAAACAATGAAGTTGGTCATATCCCGTTTGGTCATTACGGTTTTTTCTTCGTACTCTCTCCTTTTTTGTTGGGAGTTGTCGAGTCTAAGCCCCTTACCTTGCAGGAAGTGAACAAGGACATATAATTGACATTCTTCTCAACAATGATTTTCACTTCACTTTATTGTATCATTTAACTATTCAACGATTGAAGATATCTATCAAATCCTACCGCTTTAAGCTTGAAATTGAAATATTCAATAACGTAGAATCTTTAAGATTTGTTTTAATCAGAAAAAGTAAATCCCTACTGACAACACCTGTTTCAAGAATGGAATTTGTTTTCATCACGACATAATCTTTTCCTCACAGTTCTACAACCCTTGGCGCTTTTAAAACTCGCCTCAGTCACCTATAACTTTCTTTGCTCCTAGCAAGTGCTATTTCAGGCTTTGGTGTTCAGAAAGGTAGCCATGGAGTCATCAAGCGCCTTCATAAATGTAGAGTGGTGAATTGGGGACTGCGTTCCGGTAAACTTGCTTGCGTGGCTTCGATCCCTGTAAGTGAGGATGTCCTCATGTTTGTGATGTTCCCAGTCATGGAACTGTTGGGCGGTGTCCAGGTCATATCCGTAGTTTGCATTCTTGGCGATGTCGACCAAGTATTCGGTCTGGAAATTTATATCATCGTGACAGTCCTTCAGTTCATTCATTCTGAAATGATGAAGAAAAACAAATGGTGAACTTCCACGTTAGTATACTGCGTGACATGTTTTGTGACTGATCCGTTATGAGGTCACTTTTCGTCCAATGAATTGTTTTTCTGAGCTCATTTGACGTTTACAGCTCGTAACGAAAGGAAAGAAATACTTTCAATAGCGTGAACAAGGATTATCAAATATCTTCACTTTTTGGTTTCCCATTCGACAGCAACGAAGCTGTTTTTAACAAATGGAGATAGGGTCCCGGTGAGTGCATTTTGATCGAGTGTGTTTGTCGTAAGGTTAGAATAGGAGTATCAAAGGAACGATTAGGGAATGAAAACTCCGATTAAAAAAAAAAAAAACCAACTGGGCCAAAGACAACAAAACACGAGTGACCGATGAACGATTGTGGTTAAATAGTTCAATCTGATTGGTCGAGTCGCGCTTTATTGAAGTCTCTCTGTGATTGGTTGAGAGGGCGACGCCTTTTTCCAATAACAGTCACGGAGCGCAGGGGAGCAAAACTGGCAAGGAAATCTAGAGATGCCATTCGATACCATAGGAAAAATATTCTCTATGACTTATTACTTTGCGATCCATTTCTCTATGTCCTTCCTCATGGCTTCCTTATCAGGGAGTTTCAGCTCCCCTGTGATGCAATTCACAGTCCACTTGGCTTGTGCGTCAAACATGGTGTAGGTGTAGTACTGGTCCTGCATTCCGATGTAAAAAAACTTGTTGTTGCCAGCCTCGGTCCAAAGTACATTCTTGTACATGCCAGCAGGATACAAGATATTCTTGGCCTTCAGTCGAAGACGCTCCTCAAGGAATGGAAAGTGGAAGTAGTAGCCGGTGCACAAAATGATGGCGTCCACATCGGCAGTCGTACCATCCTTGAAGTGGACGGTTTTGCCCTCGATCCTGGTTAGCAGGGGTCTCTCAGTGATCTCAGGGGGCCACTTGAATCCCATCGGCCTGGTCTTGTAGGAACAAATTATCTTCTTTGCGCCATATTTGAGGTTTTGTAAGGCGATATCCTCAGCGGAATAGCTGGAGCCGACTACAAGTAGCGTCTGACCTTGGAACTGATAAGCATTTCGGAAGTCGTGCGAGTGCATCACGCGACCAGGAAACTCCTCTATTCCTGGAAAAGAGGGAACGCTCGGCACAGAAAAGTGTCCACTCGCTACAATAAGGTAGTCAAACTTCTGAACAGGAAGGTCTTTGTCCTCGGCAAGGCTTTTGACAACCACTGAAAAGTCGTCAGTATCGTCGTTGTAGGTCACCTGACGGACGACATGGTTGAAACGGACCCAATGTCGAAGATCGCCTTTGGTCCAACGACCTGATTAGGGATTTAAGAGGAACATTGCCCAGTTACGTGCCAATAGTTGTTTGTCAATTTGTTATGCTATACGTAGTACGTCCACAGCTACTTTTGCCCCTAGGCACCTTAAGAAATAGGCCTGTTTCGTTTTCTTTTCATCACGATTTGAGAAAACCAGTCACAATAGTAGAACCACGTGATTCATGAAAGCAGGAGGAACGCTAACTAGCAGGTTATAGTTGTTGAGATGTGAATATTTTTTTTTACCTTTCAGATAGTCAAAGAGAACCTCTCTAGGTGGGAAGGATGGAATTGCCTTTTTGAAATGATCTTCAAAGGTGTAGTCCGGATACTCTAAAGCTTCCTTCGGACCATTAGACCAGAGGCCTCGGTACATACTTCCATGGACGGGTTCGCCGAACTGATCGATGCCTTTAAAAAGAATCAAATTATTACATCGTGTGTGTAATTTTTTCTAGTTCAAATCATTGTTTTCTTGAACATTTTTTTTCCTAAAATGCAGACGTAAAAATCATGGAAAAAATAATGGTTTCTTGTACTCTGTGTTCCCCTTTGCTTAGATGCATCGCTCGTTCCCACGGTTATTTTTCTCGCTCCCTTCTAGGTGCGATCTCCAAACGCCAAGAGCAGAGTACACAGTTGGCTCCTTCTCCAAGCAGCTAAGCGTTATTGACACCATTAATAAAATTCAACTCCTCATGTGACCACAGGTGGACTAAGCGTACTGTGTGTGATCTTGGGGTCTAGAGGCCATTAACGGGAATACGTATATCAATTAAGATCGAGTTTTAAGCGTAAGTGTGGGCCGTTAAAAAAAGGAAAAATTATAAAAAAAAAAAATTAAGAAAAAATTAAAAAGTATGATGAAAGCGAGAAATATAACATATAAAGTCTCCTTACTTTTTTCCGAAGCCGCTTTGTCGTTTATGGTCCTTCAGTAACGCTGTTTTGGCGACTTTTTTTGTAACGCATGTGGTGCTGCCAGTCAATCGTATATAGAAAAACACGCGGGTGGAAATTTGAGGGAAATCGGTCGACTTTCGTAGAATTTATCAGCTTTCGAGTGGCGATGGTTGGTGTTTAAAACCGGTTGAAGTTTCCAGCCTTCTGTTTTTCTATATACAGTTCACTGGTAGCACCACAGGCGTTACAAAGAAAGTCGCCAAAACAGCTTTGAAAGGACCATTGGCGACGAAGCGGCTTAGGAGAAAAGGTAAGGAGACTTCATACGTTATACTCCTCACTTTTATTATCCTTTTAAAATTTTTTCTTAGTTTTTTCATAATGTTTCCTTTTTTAACGGCCCACACTTACGTTTAAAATCCGATCTTAATCTGTTAAAGTATTACAGTTAATGACCTTTAGACCCCAAAATCACACAAGCACGCTTGGGCCGCCTGTGGTGTGACAGACAACACGAGGTCGGATGACTCGAAGAGTGTGACAACGCATCACCAGAGAAAATAACAATAGCTATTCACTTGGTGGCCCTGAAAACTACTTACCAGTTTCCCAAGAGTATTTCCAGAGCCCTCCCCAGTCCGACTGCTTGTCGAAGCACGTAATTTCAGGAATTTCTTTACCTTGTTCTTTCAGTTTATTGAAGTGATACAGCACTGACATACCACTGGGACCTGCACCAATCACACAGACACGCTTTGCTTTGGACATCTTTACGTTTGTTGGTTTCAACTGTCGGATAAAATATAGCATAAGTGGTATTTTCAATTTGATCACAATGACTGTATTGATCTTATTTGATTTAATTATGAGCAGATCCCTTCCTGCTAAAAGAATTTCTCATCCAATTTTGCGTCACTTTCAACATCTGGCGTCGTAAATCAGTTGGTCGTGACGCCCAACCTGGGAAGGCAGCTAGTATCTGGGTAAGAATTCTGTGGAAGTTTGAATTTTCTCAGGCGGGCCGTCTTTCCCGAAGTTTCTTAAATCATAGCTAATCTGGGAGGATCATTCCTTTACTTGCATTTCAACCCAAGTTTCTTTTTTTAATGAAAAAAGGATAAACAGGATGACCTTTTAAGAAAAGCCCAATCACTTGGCATTTTGAAGGTACAGAATACGAATAAAGCAAAAATTACAAGTTTTAAACATAAAAAAGATTTACTCAAACCACTGAAAGACCGAGTCTTGGCGGACGAGGGGTCTCATAGAAAGGGCGGGTTAATAAATTTTCAGTGTTCAAGTGAGGAGGTGTTCCGAGAAGGTGCATTCTAACGCGAAGAGAGGTTTAATCTCGCCATTACGATGTTATTTCATAATTGTAACGTCTACGCGTTCATTCACAGGTCATTCCTAACCCTCTGAACACAGGTAGCCCAAGCTCACTCAGTAGAAAAGCGGACGTGACTCTTACCGTGTTGCGCAACGTTTTATATTTATAAAGGTTTGTATGGGATGTTATCGGTTTGCCTGAAAAGAGGGAAAATAATGTCTTGTTTTGAAATGAAATGGACTTAACTTATTGCCTTGTTGTTTTCTTTGTTGATTCCTCGCGTCTCAGGCCATTTAGAAGCGTGTTCGGCGAGTTAGCGCTATGTTGGTGTTAGCAGTTGAACACCAACATAGCGCTAACTCGCCCAAAACGCTTCAAAATGGCGTGAGACGCTAGGAATCAACAAAGAAAACAACAAGGCAATAAGGTAAGTCCATTTTATTTCAAAACAAGAGTCACTTCCGCTTTTCTAGTAGTGAGCTTGGGCTACTTGTGCTCTGAATTGTTCAGTGTAACTTAAACTTGAATGACAGAAACGAGAAATTTCATATCTTGATCCTTCGTTGAGCGACACTGGCTCTGTTTGTAAAGCGGATTGTTTTTATTTCAACATAACTTGTATTTGCACAACATTGTTTTCATTTCAATTTGACTCATAATGACGCAAACTCTTGAGTTGACCTAAGCAGCACTGACGATTTGGCCACACAACGTTGAAAAAAATCACCTCAATTTTCAAGGGTAAATTGTAAACTCGATGCTTCCCTTCAAACGCAACCCTATTGTATTTACAGTAAAGGAAATCATTGTTATCAAAGTATCTGACGGAGACTCTGGAAGAGCTTGGCATTTCAGAGTCAACACAGGATGTGTCGCTGCGGAGATTTAGTTACGCTCGGGCTGATAACCCCTGAAATATTAAATTTCACCATGAAAAATTGAATGGATAAAAATACATCAAAAGAAAACGACAACAATCGAGTCGAATTATTAACTCAAAGTCGGAATTCGTCAATCTACCACAAACATCCGTGTGATTTAATCCATGTTTGGTTTTAACAGAAATACGGAGCCCAGTTACAGTAGTGTATTTCTGAGGAACTTAAGTTAGGCACATCTAGTATCTTATTGCTGGGGAAACGACTCGCTATTTCAAGATCTTAAGAACACGTGAGTGTCCTTGCCTTCAGTGTTGTGAGCTTCGCTTTCATTCCATACAGGATGTAAGGTATCTTGGTGTCAATCATATTCACTGAGACAAAAATAATAAGTAAACCTGAAAAGATCGCCAGGGTGTGCTCAAGTCTGGCAATAGTCTCGTGTCTTCGGCACAACAAATCTCGATCGCTTCGCACCCCTTACTGATCGACAATTTCCATTCCAGTAAAACTGACCTCGAACGTAATATTCCACTTTAAAAAATCATTAATATTCTGAATAATACTTCCTGTTGCAATGTGATGTTACCTTAGTGCTTCTTATCGTTTTTCCAATCTTTTGCCTTCATTCCCAACATAACTTGTGGAACTAAATTGTTTTGTCATTCTCTGGTTGCTATGAGGAACTTAAAGAAAACCACGGCGGCGAAGGTAACGAAAAGGCGGCGAAACAAATTTGCAAAGAACTAAACAATAGCTCAACGAGTACGTCCTATGGAAATGAAAAGCGTGAAATCGGCTAAATTTGCACAATCTCTGAACAAGAAGCGCAACAGTATATTATTCGATTTTTCTCGAACTCTACGCCGCATTCCCTTGTTGGGCCGGAAGAGAAATCCGGCGCCCTTACAGACAGTAAACAAATTGAGCATTTTGTAAAATATTCAGGAGAAACAAATTTTCAAATTTTAAGCGATGTTTTCACAGGCGTCGCCGCCCCGACAGCTCTTACCCCCTATCAAGCTAGCGAGCGACATCCTTCATTAAAAAGTCGCGTGACTTTCACAGTTCGAATTAAATGGTTCCTGTTGGAGGCCGTAGACTTTTCATTACACATGATAAACATAGCTTTAGGGTTCCAGACAGATTTAGATATTCGATTGCGTACAAGAAAGAAAAATTCCTTTACTTCGCATTCTAAGAGGGAGGAAAACTCAAACGACACCTCTTAGATGTAATAGAAATAAATCGAATCCGCATGAAATGAAATCTTTCTCAAAGCTCGCGTGATACATACATGGTGGGCAGGTGGAAAGTGCAGGTGGAAAGTGTAGGTCTTTAACCTGTATTTATTACTCTCACTGTTCGAGATCGAAACGAGCTGGTCAAAAATGAGATTCCTAAGAACGCTCAGGCGAAAACTTACCTAAAAAAGTCTCTTATAATTCCAATTCAGAACTGCTCGAGGACAACACCCGCTCCGCACTTGAGACTGTCGCCGAAAAGAGGGATATTTCAGAATGGGTTCTCTTATTAATAGCCACTTCGCTGGCAGTTTGGGGGGAGGGGTGGGGAAATTGGCAGCTTGTGCCTTGAGGGTCAACTTCCCGGCTGACTTCTAGGGAGTCGGACAAGAGTTTTTTAAAAAAAGTTTCTTTGGATCATATCTGTGAGAATCCAGATGACATTCAGATATGACATCTGCAAACTCTGTATCTCTTTTCCTTTTTGTTTTTGTGTTTGTTTTTGTTTTTTCCGGTTGCGTGTAGCCGCACCCTCCTCCCCCCCCAGGAGAAACGGAAGGGAGGAGTGGGGAGGGTACGGCTACATGTATGCTGTTTTTTTTTTTTCGTGTTTATCACCTACTACAGTGCTGAGACCCTTTCGTCCCCCGCACTAGCAACTCACCCTCTTGGGATAATCTTTTAAAGTTTTTGACAAGTGTCAGCTTAAGATAATGTTAATCTAAGAAGGTTATGTTTCGTTATTTCAGTTTCTTAATTTCGCAATTTTTCTTGGATGAAGCGTCGTCCTATTCAAAACAATAGTGACCTTTGTTGACCTTTGTACACTTTTCGACCCGAATTTTTAAGCTCTGAACAATAGGTGGATGATGTTTCTGTAAATAAGAGCATGTTGAATAAATACATACTCTCTCGGCGGCGGCTTTTGCATGTTAGATCGCTGGATTGTGACGCTACTCTAGGTTATCAAGTTTGATAATTGTGTCTCCCTTTATTTTTTCTTCTTGGCTTTCTCTGCTAAATTCAGTCTTAAATATTCAGGGTTACAGGACAAGTAATTTCCTACAGGTAATTGTTTTGTCTCGGTTCGTTTTCAACAGTAGACGACTCAGAGAAAGCTCTCTATAAAGGGGTGGAGCTGTGACGATTGAGGTAAATTTTGATTTTGACTGTTGACAGGTCAATTGTAAGGTCTTTGACGGCTTACGGTTGTTGTGAATTTAAGTCAACAATAAGATATTTTTATCTTTTAATTATGAATTGTGAATTATATTCAGACCGAACGAAATGAAGTGAAGTTAGAATGATCGATCATTGGCAGGCCCGTAGAAATAGTGGTAGCCCTCAAACAGGCCTTATTTTTTATTAATTTTTTTTTTTTTTCATTTTTCAGTCACAAGGGGGCTAGCACGGAGTGAGCATTAAGTGCTAGTCACGCGCTCGCCTAGTGCTTGTCTCCGTTCTCTAGTGACACGCAAAAAATCACGTTGGTTCTGCAGGCTAAACTCAGCCCGCACCCTTCTACTTCTTGGGCAAAAAGTAAGAAAAGATGACAAATGCCTTGGCAATTATCTTACAATTAGTTTATAAGACAAGTAAATCTAAAAACAATTGGCTTCCAGATTTCTTGAAGGCGCCGTATGACAATAGAGTGAGTTTAAATTTCAAAATTTTTCCGGGAAAGGATGCCCGGGACCTTCCCACAGCTTACTAGAACACACCACAATCACTGTTGTCATTACAGGCCCCTTCCCTTCAAACTATTTTCCTACGGGCCTTATTAGCTTCAACAAACATAGAGGTGCTAATAACATCAACAGAACTTTGCAGACCTGACTTTTCCACGGGGAACCCAAGCTCTCTATGAGTGGATATTATTATAAAACTTTGTATAGGAGGTTAGGCTCCGCTCTGTAACTCCGCTCTCAAACTAAGAAAACTCTCAAACTAACAGCAGTAGTGGGATGAGGGCCCAGCTAAATCTGAACGAAATGGCCTGAAATCGCTACCAGAGAACAGAAATAACACAAGCAACGCTATCCGCAGGTAAGAGTTTATTTGCTTTATTACTTAAGGAGTTACAGAGCGGAGCCTAAACTCGCAAACAAAGCTTTATAATATCCTCTCATAGAGAGCCTGGGCTCCCTGTGGATTTGTGAGCGAACGAAATTAGTTCCGCGGGGGACTACTGAAAGTGAACAAGCGCTTGCTTTGCACTTCCTCTTTAAAAAAGAAAAAAAAAATTTGAAACTAAAACAGCTTGAGTATTACACGACATTCACTATATTCATTATATTACACTATTTTCAACTCATGCTGCGAGCTCTATCTTCAACAAATAAATACTTATTCTTGACATTCATTAGCATATTTCCAATATTTTAGAACACGTCTCACCGTTTTGCCTGCTCTCTTCGTCTCCGAACAACAGTTGTAGTACTGCTCCAAATCGAGTTATTGTTGAGTTGTTCCAATGACATTTTTGTTTTAATTAACTTTCAGTAATTTCACCAGCCGGTACAGCTGGAACTCAAATGCACTTAGCTAAAAACTAAAATCGAGTCGTTGATACCAAGGAAATCAATGTCTCTTGGCCAAAACTTCCAATGTGCATTTGATTTTCCCCGAGAGAAGCTCGTTTCTTGTATTGCTCAGTTGCTTTTTCGTCCGTTTTTGATATAGATAACGGGTTTCAGGAAATGATCCCACTTTGCCGTTACTTTTGAATTTGTCGGATGGCGAACATCAACGTGGCATTGTAGGCTATTTTTGATATTTGATTATTCCGATGAATATTGATATTTTCAAACTGTAACCTTAAAGGAAAAAATTTCTAAAAATGAATGAAAGAGAATATATTTGTAAACCTGGAGACTGTCTGATGGCGTACGATTTAAAAAAACTCATTGAGACCCTTTCAAAGGCACCGAAATGCCCCCTAAAATATTTATCAGTCTTCTGAGGTGAAAAATTCCGTACGTTAGAGTTCCGTTTATCGCGGCGAAAGAACTTTAGAACCGTATTAGCAGCGCTCCAGGCTCATTACGTTAGCGCCTGTTAAGAAAGCCGCACAAATATTGACTGACTGTTATTGCGGATATTGTAACAAATATCACGCTTCCTTTTTCGACATATTTTTGTTTTTTTTTGGCATTTTTGAAATAGTTGACCATATGAACGAAGCAGATTAATCTCCTGAGACTGCTAAAGCAAGTCTCAAACATTTTGCTAATTTTCGTCAGTATGCTGTGTATGTTCAGTTAGCGACCAGGTAAACTCAGCTGTGGTATGTTGCCTTATACTTATCTCTCTAGAAAAGATGCTCGAACCAGGCGTAACGACTTGTAAGCGAAAAATTTGCCACTACACAGACCACTTTCATAAATGGCTGCTGGATTAATATTCTTTTGTTTAAATTTGAATTAGTCCTACTGGCCTCCTTCTCCAGTACAAAATTCAAAAGAATACATTATCTCAAGCGAGGCCAGAACGGCTAATTTAAATTTAAACAAGAGAATATTTATACGGCAGCCATTTATGAAAGTGGTCTATATCAGGAGGAAAGAAGTCTCAATTTCGGTCCGTAAACAATGATGGAATGGTCGCATTCATTGGTTCTTTTTCGTTATATTTCTTTTATTCAGCGCATGTTGCCTTGTTCCAAACAATTTCCAGCTACTATGAACTATGTGAAGATTTCTACGTGACAGATTGGTAAGACTGCAAACGCGTCTTGCGAGTAACAGTTATGACAAGCTTGGTCACCTTATATTAACTCTTAAAAGTTTGACTCATTCCTTGAAGCTGATGATCTTTCGGTCGGTGGCATCATCGCATCGTCAAAAGAATAATAAAATAACACACTTAAGGAGCGTGACTAATGCCCAAAGCCAAAATGTTACGTTGCTATTGTAGCCTCAGGGCTTTAGGCACACTCTGCATTTATAGTTGTAAGTTTCATGGCCGACTTGAGAGTCATTGTAATCAAAAATAACATTGCATACCTCGCTACAGTTGACTGCAATCAAGGAAACGTCGTTCTGGTTTAATAGAGACCAATTCAATGATCTGTGATAAGAACCACTGTAACTGACCGACAAAGCACCAGTTTTCAGTAAGATGATCGCTGTCTTATTTTTAGACCTTCTGAGCCATGCGCGCTATGCCTATAAATCAGATGGCTTTCTTTTCCGCAATAAAAAACAAATGCAAATAAACCATCAAAGTGATTTGCATCAAGTTGTCACGACATCCTCAATAAATCTCACGCAATCGTTTCATAAACGAATTTTTCTTCCTATTTTTTATCGATTGAACAATCAAGTAAAAGTTTTCATTTCAAACGTGATTTGAAAATAAAATTCTTCAGACAGGTCTTTTTGTAATTGGGGTCAGTATTCGAGAAACGATTGACAATCTCACAAAACTCTCACAATGACGTAGGTTAAGATCTTCACAAACGATCAAAACACGTGACGTCATAAATCTAAGATTGAAACCAGGTAAGATAAGATTAGGATTAGTTTGTACCCGCACTTTGATACTCTAGAACACCATAGGAGAAAGCTAAGTAAAACCTAAATCCCTTTTGGGGATTTTTTATTTCGACGGACCCCGGAGCGAATGTAAGAAACAAGGAGTGGCACCAGGACGGGGATGGGCGAGGATAGTTTGTTATTGGACTGGCCCCGGTTGTTCGAAGGATGGATAACGCTATGCACTGGATAAATCTCTATTCGGTGGATAGCACAGTACGTTTTGGTAACACTTATCCGCTGGATAGCGATTTATCCGTTGGATAGCGTTATCCGCCCTTTGAACAACTGGGGCCAGTTCAATAAGCCAGTTTTATTCAAAGTCGTAGTGTAAATCAACTGAACACATTCAAATTTTGATTGTTGTCAATTTCAAGGCGAAATTTACGCCTCCTTTGTCAGTCTTTTTGAGTAAATTTTGCCTTTCTATTCTTCTTACTTGACTATTCGTCTTCTTCTCTCGGAAATTGTAAGTTTTTGATTAATTGGTAATAAGACTTCGTGTCGGTTTGTAATCATACTCGTGTCATTTTACCATTCACAATCCTCTCCTCGTGTTTACGTACCTCGTTGAATTTCTTAGGATCAGTAAAAGTACTTATCTCCGATGTACACTCCAAATCAAATAGAAGTTGCTCAAGTGACAAACATATCAAGGTAATCCAGTTATCAGAGACTGACTGGATGCAGTCCTATGACCATCATTACATGATTATTGAGGGTGTTAAGAAAAGGAAATTGCATTAACGCGAACGTATCTCGTGATAAAGAAGTTGACCCGGATGCGCTTTTAAACCAAAACATCACGAGTGAACATACATCAAAAATTGTGTACTAATTCACCCCTCTAACAAATAAATTTCTAACCCTTGCAAGCTCTGAGGTTCATAAATCTCCAAAGTGTAGAGATTTTGAGAGATCGAGTGCAACGTGGAAATCTTTCCACGTTCCTTAATGTAAAGCAGATATGCCAAACCTTCATTCACGTTCTTAGACTTTGTTCGCGGCTTACGACATAATAACATCCGGGGCTTTACAACCTTCAGTTAATGCAAACTTCAGGCCTGCTAAAACTCCATCTCACTGATTTACTTGAATGTTGAAAGTGGAGTTGTGTGTTGAATGATAGGACCATTAGTTTCTCTTGATGTTGTCGTAAATGTTAAAAAGTCTTCTTAAAAATCAAACGTTACCCGGGGTTTTGAATGCCGGGATACGAATCATCAGTGACGATTTTCAAAATGAGGTAAAACAAATTGATGCCAAAATGATGCTTCAAGCAAAGAATATTTCGAATGAAAATTTTCCAGAATTGCGCACCGTACTTGAAAATCTACCACACCCTTAAGTTTCGGTCCACAAATGATAAAAGAATGATAACATTTATTTGTTCTCTTTCGTCATACTTTTTTTTGTTGTTGTTAAACTCAGCGCATGTTGCCTAGTGCCAAATGGTATCCTTTTAGCTTTGTAAGGAGTTCCACATGACTAATAGCTAAAATTGTTAACGCGTTTTCCAATGCGTTTGAAAGTTTGTCCAGCGAGGGGAACAAACTGAAACCTAAACTTCACCGAACTTAAAAAAACTAGTGATCTTTGTCGGTAAGAGATCTTCGCATCGTCAGAAAATGAGTAATCATGACGGTCTGGGGAACGAAAAGTAATCATGAGTAATCATGACGGTCTGGGGAACCAAAAGTAAGTTCATGACGTTGGCATTGGAGCCTCAAATCTGTTCGCTTATATAGTTATTAGTTTCACACCCGCCTTGAGAACGCAAGATTGAAAATAAAATTACAGCCTGACACCTGGCTACAATTGACCGCAATCAAGAAGACGTTCTAGAAAGTAGAGTTTATCAGTGACCAGTTGAACGACCTGCGAGAGTACCACTTTGACACGGACTCCCTAATGACGAAGCACCAGTTTACTGTAAGATGATCGTTGAATCATTTTATGGACCTTTGGGGTCCTTTGTGCTACCAAAGTGACTCCTCTTTCAGAAGAGACAAATACAAATATGGTGGTTGATTAGGCGTTAATGAGCTTTGCGTCAACTTGTCACGAAATCCTAAATAGATTGTCACAATCATCCTTCAACTTATTTTTCTCTCTTCTCTCCATCTCTTGAACACTCTCCTGGAAATTATCATTTGAAACGTGATTTAAAAATAAAAACGTTCCACGGTCTTTATTCGATTAGGATGTTGGTAAAACCATTGACGATCTCACACCAAAAAGTTAGAAACACGATGTCATTTAACCAAACTTAACTTTTATTTTGTTGGTCTTTAGCCACACATTCAGGACCTGGAGCGAATGTAAAAAACGTGAGATAATTCTTAGCATTATTTGGAACATTGTTGACGAATTCCTGTAGTTTTCGCACTTCACTGAAGTTTCACATAGTCTTGTTTTAATGGCACTGTGCACCCGGAGAAACTTATGAAACTGAAACTCTTTATTCGCACTATTTCAAGAGGTTACTACAGATTATAAAAGTCAGAATATATAAGAAACAGTAAATTACATCAATAATCAAAAGTAAAATGTGCACAGTGACCAAAGTAGCATAGCTTTCGAGTTGGCCAATGATTATCACCCAATGCCTTCATCGCACAAATTTTGCTGAGAACATGACTATCAAAATGTCAAGAGAAACCACTTCTTGTTTTACTAACATTTTATTCGACTACTAATTGCATCGAAGCATGAGTCAGAACTACATGATTCTTACTGATAATCAGAGAGGGAAATTGCATGAACGCGCAAGTATCTTGTGATTTTTATGGGCCTAAGCCGCTGGCGAATGTGCTTTGGAAAACCCTTTTAAAACATCAAGCATGAACATACATCACAAAATAACAAGCAGTTTATGCAATTTTCCTTAACTCTATTCACTACGAAATAACTTTCTAAGGCTCCGTTGCAAGTGTTGGGTTTTATAAGTCTTAAAAAACTCGACGGAAACCTTCCCAAGCTTCCTCATGTAAAGCACATATACTGTACAAGGAAAAGCTAAACCTCCATTCATATCCTTAAACTTTGTCTATTCTCGGCTTGAGTAATAACACCCAGGGGTTTAAAACCCTCATTTATAATGGTACTAGGACCGAGTAGAGTCCAATTTGGTCGGTCTATAATCAAACGAGCGATTAACAAAATCCAACGACCACGAAGCGGAAGGCCGATTTTTTTATCACGAGTATGATTACAGACAGAATTGGACGACACGAGGTCCTGTTACCAGTTAATCAAAACTATGACAAAACTCGAGAAAGAAACTAGACATCGGTTCTACGTTTCCTTAAAAAAAAAACAAAAAAAACAAAAGCAGTCAACTCGGCAAAATGCGCGACTGCAGCGGGCGCGCATGACGCGTTCTGTCCACTTACACAAGCATGACGTGTTACCTGTCCCTTCAACTGTCCTATTTCACTGTCAATTTACAAGCATGACGTTTACACTGTCCTAATTAAGTATTTAATCAAAACTCTGTTAGAGTTTTGATTAAGTATTTAATCAAAACTCTGTTAGAGTTTTGATTAAATACAAAATTCAGGCCTACGCTGAAACGTAACCTCACCGATAAATACTTGCCAAAAATGAAATCTTTAAGTTTTATAAATTTAAACAACTGAGGGTCAATTGAAGGTAGTCTTAAGCTGGGTTAAAACTTGTGTTTTCGCGTTTTCGTGATTTACATAAAAAAAAAAAAGTGCCATCTTTTTAACCACACGGAAACAAAAACGACTTACAGCAATCACCGCTGAGAAGTGATATCGCACTTCCTCTTTTCACTAGGTTGCTGCATTCTTTTCCACAAATTACGGCGTGGTAAACCAAGCAAAATAAAAATACGGTTCATTACACGCATTTAAACATTACAAAACTCAGATCAAAGAGTACATTTGTTCATTTACGTTCCATGCCACAACCTAGTGTAGAAGATCTAGTCAACCCTTAAACGCACTGAATTGGCGTTTTATGCTGTGGCACGGGTCTACTGTCTTCACAATGTTAGTCAAATTGGAGGAATTTTAAGGAAGAAAAACAATGCAAACACTCCACATGAAACCCTTCAACCTCTAAGAGTGATGGGCGTCTAATTTCTTGCAACATTATCACCCCTGAATCACACATTAAGGTGATAAGAAAACAGTAAAATGATTGTGAACTCCAGAGGCTTGAGATCGTTAGACAAAGTACCCAATTATGTAGGTACCTTAGGAAAAGTCTAGAGAACAGTGCAGAGAATTTCATACTCACGTTAGGGTGTGAAGAGTTAATGACATTTTCAGAGTCAACTTTTAAATGCAGGTTCTTGCGTTTTAAACAGTGTACACGTATAAAAAGAAGCAAAGTGAAACCTTTCAAGGTCGACCTGCAGGCTCAATCACGTTTGTACCCCCCCCCCCCCAAACTGGAGTTAACATGCAGTACCACCGATAATCCTTTAGTTCTCTTGAATGAAAATGGAAATGAAACTTTACTTATTGCCTGAAGGCACAGAAAAAACTGCACCGGATAGGCAGTTGCTACCTACTTTCACAGCTCAATTAAACCTTTCACTCTTTCAATCTCATTAGTAATTCTGCTTTCTCCTCCCAAACAATTCTTATGACGTTTAAATCGTTAGTTTGGAGAATTTGCTATTGGATTAAGTACTAGTTCCTTAATTGCTATTTTTCTTTACTCTCATCACCTGTCTGATCTAAATTGTTAAGGACAAATACTCTCTTCATCACACATGGCAGTTTTTTTTTTGAAGGAGTAATTTTTGTGGAAAGACTGTACCAATCAGTTGTTGTTGAGGTAGATTCTCTTCCTGAGTGTAACAACAGGAGCTGGGCACTGTTTGTATCCCCTCTTGGTGAACGCATCTGAAACTTCATCATTGACCTTTACCATCATCGTTGTCACATCATAATTCTCGCAATACTTTCGGAACACTTCACAGAGCTTGGAAATATACCAGGAGCCATGGACTTGACTTCTCCAGCTGACATAACCTGTCAGAATGAATTCGAAATCAAAAGAAATATCACACATACATTTAATTAATCAAAGTAAAAATTCGACATCCAAACTGACAGTATTGTACAGTATTAGGTCAATAGATAATCAAATTATTTATCAAATTGTCTTTCATCCCATTGTCTTTTTCCCTTGTGGCAAATAAGATTTGACACTTCAAAAAATATTCCTTTAAAAAACATTGCTAAAAAGTGGTCAATGTTATGTTTGTGATAAGAGGAGAAACCTTTCAAAACACCAAACTTGTAACACAGTGAGTGAATTCTCTGACAAAATATTTATGACATAAAACATTCAGATGTAGAATAGCTTAAATAACGGGGTACTTGACTGTAAATCACCTTTCAGCATAATGATTTCACTGAGAATTTACCTGGAGGAGTGGCATAACCTAGGAGAAAATGGCTTTCATTTGGCTCTGCATTATTCCTCATGGCATCTTCAGGATTGCTTTCTACTGCATCAGCTTCAATCCGAGCTCCTCGTTCAAAGTCTTGTCCTCTGCAAGCTTGGATGAAGAACAATTTAGGTTTGTTGGCAAGTGATGGACAGGCCACACCTTTGAACATGGCTGTTATATACTTGATCTCCACCAATACACTATCTGTGCCATAGATCCCTCCATTGGCTCCATGGCTTAGCAAGCAACAAACAAAACAGTCAAAGTTTGAGTGATCCATGGTTGAGATCCGTCTTATAACATTATACATTTCATGTGACTCTAGCTGTGATTCCACAATTACATCAAAATTCAAGAATTGCCATAGTTCACGGAGCTGATTCACATCTTTTTGATTTCCCTGGCGGTCTCTCAAATCAGGGTTTCCTTCAAAGCGTTCATTACTTATAATCAGTGCAATACCACGTGGCCGGTTTCTCATGGGATAGGAAGGCATTGCTTCTTCCTCATCAACCCCTAATTGTTGCATGGGAGCAACAATTTCTGCTGGACTAGCTCCTGCCTGGACAGGGAATCGAGGTTCCACGTTATCTGAACTTCCACCCTGCCCTCTCAAGAAATATGCAGGAGAAAGTAAAGGTGCACTTGGTGGTCTTGGTTCACCCATCTGATGCATTGTTGGCTGCTTCCCAGTAACTAAAGGTCTGAGTGGTGGAGCTTGTGTTGGTGCAAATGGGCGTTGGCCATTGATTGGTGATTGAGCAGGCCACTCAGTTTTGGCAGCACTAGGACTTACAGCTTCTAGAGTAAAAAAAAAAAAAAATGAAACACACAAGCTATCAAAAAAACATAAAATCAACCAGAAAATTAGCAAAATAACTTTCCGTCAGCTCTAGTGTTATTATTATTAAACCAAAAGTCCCTATCACCCATCATAAGTCTAACATGTTTTTCTTAAATGAAGAAAACAATCAGACAAGAAAAAGCCAAAAAAAAGGATGTGATATATTTTTTTTCAATTTTTAAAATGCCAGAGAAATTGCAGCAGGCTCAGTAAGAACCAAGCATCAGGTATGACACCGGCAAGGGTCGTGACATCAAATCAGAATCTTCACCTGCACATTCATGACTCTGCAACCTGGCCCTACATTTGTGAAGTCCAAATATTCAACTCACTGGCAAAGAGCTACTGTTCTAGTTACTTGCAGAGAGGATTGCCAGAAGTTGGAACAAAAAAAATGGTACGAGTTTTCAGTCTCAGCAAGATTCAAAATGGTGCTATCCATATCAGATTCCTAGTTCATTTGAAGACAGATTTCTGAAGGTTTGCCTTTTGGAATCCCAAATGTGACCAGTGACATGATTACAGATATGCCATTTAATTTTTGTCATACATATAGTAAAAATTCCTTACTTGTAATTTCTAAAAGTAGTTTAGGAGGTGATAACCAATTGTATTTAAGTACTTTAAGTAGTCACATTGTATTGACCAAATATTCTTCTTTGAAAGGGCATTTATCTCACAATTTTTCCATTAAAAACTAAAAAAAAAATAAAACACTTAACATAATAAGATAGAGCTAACAACTGCAGAGTCTCTTATAGTGCACTAAGAGGAAACTTCCATTATATATTACATGTGAAGAGGACACTTCCATTTAGCCAATATTAGTGATGGTAATACAATGTCTAGATCAGTGTTTGCCTGCACCTGGTTTCACTCAAAGACAAAAACAGGAACTCAAAAACAAAAGGAACATACCATCTGACTGAAATTTTCTGACTCTCTCTGCCAAGTCTCTACGATGTATTTCTTGGAGCATGTCAGCGAGGTGGTCCAAATTACAAGGTCCAATTCTGCCACATTGAATCATATATTTAAAAAGGTCTTTTCCACTCCGCACATTTTCATCAATGCCATCTGAAAAAGACAACATTTAAAATTATGTCCAGTACCCCTTAAACCTATTCATGGTTTGACACTAACTTTTCAACTTACTAGCAAAGTCCGTAGTGACAGCTTAATGTTACAACAATTTCAGTTTGTTTACTAGCCAAACTGGCCAGTGGAAATTGAAAACTAATGGCCAAAACTGAATTTCTATTAGTCTGTGGCTACTGGGCTACCGTTGGTGTCGAGCCCTGCTTGTAGTGTACCTACCCAGAAATCTTTATTCACTTGCAAAGAATAAACTCTATGGTCATTAACATTTCACAAATTTGCTGCTTTTTGTAACTAATTAGCACCTGTATGGAGCTCAGATCAAATAAATGGCAATTAAAACATGACAAAATTTAACCCCACTTTTCTTAACCCATTGACACTTACGTGTAACACGTGCCGACGAAAAGTCAAAATTTTGGAGAAACCAAGAAGG